GTCAGGGACCACCTGGGATCACTTTGAACTGAAAGACTTAAGGCTGGTATAGAGTGCACAATCATCTGCCGATTAGTCGGTGTGTTAAGAAGTGTGTGTGTTTATAGTATGCAGGACCATTGTTTTGTGCAAAATGTATTAACTCCTAAGTGAGGTCAAAATTGCATGAGGGTGATTTTAAAAGAATAGTGGGATATTTTTTAATGCTAATATGAGATGTAAGGTGCTAAGCTAACTGGCTTCTCGCATACCTCTCACTAACCCCACTTCACAAATGACAAACTATTCCTTTAGTAATTAAAATAGGCAGATTGCTTCAAAGACACAGAGCATAATGAAACCAGTAGGGCTACGATGCAGATGCTGTTCAAATTATAGAACCATGGAGCGGCAAGGGCGAGCTTATTTACCTAATGCACGAAGGCAAATAACAGTGCTTTACATATGCATTAAAACCATGAAATGAAAAAAAAATAGTTTATGACAAAAATGAAGAGGCTAGAATCTAGGCCTTTGGTCCAAGATGCTGCACAGCTGCAGCAGCTGGGTAGTAAGAAAGTGACTGAATGCCACAGAAACATGCCGTTCTCACTACTAACCCCTTCGCCTTGAAAGCATTAGAAGCCCATGAAACATACACATGTGCTGTTTGGAAGGCATCTGCTTTTCCTAAGCCCCTTTCAGGCTTTTTAGTTTTGACTGTGACACACAGAAAGAAGGCAGATGATGCAGTGTTGTGGCCTAAATGTAATGTCAGTCAGCTGCACCGCCCTTCTCCCTGGGACACTAGAGGAAGGACAAGGGGAAGGGAAGTCTTGATTTGGACTGTGTCGCTTGTTCCTTCCACCTCCACCAAGTCTGAAAATATCTCAGACGGGCTGCTGTGTGCTCTCTGGCCGTCTGAAAGTTCCAGTCACCAGACCCATCTGCTAATATTAGACCGGTCCCTAAAGGGCATGCATTTTACACTGTGGACACATCTCGATCGCCCTTCACATTCCTTGGCAGTGTACCATAAGTATTTCAGAGCCATTGTTTGATCCATTTTCACAGTTATTTTAGTTATTTTGACAGTTTTCATGTTTTTTGCTGATGGATTTGGACCTAAGGGAGTTGGAGTGAACATTTGGCCTCGTCACAGTTACCTGTGACTATGAAAGCCATGATTGGACCCTGTTGCCAGCAGAAGAGTTCTGGGTTTCTGTGTGGGGAGACAGTTAATGATAACTGTTGGGTGTAATTGAATGTTGAACAGGCACAAGATTACTGCTCAGGCCTGATTTTTGCTTTAAGTAATGTTTACGAAAATACCCATATTGGAACAAAACGACGGCTTAGCGAGCTACTTCAGACAAGGACACACACAATTCTCAATTCTCAATCACTGATTCATCCCAGTGATGCAGAGGGGGATCGCTCCACAGAAAGGGAAATTATCCTGTCGACAGAGACGGAAAGTTCCTAGAGGGGATTACAGATACCTGAGATCTTTGCAGTGGCATTGATGAGCAGCCGGACAAAGCTTTGCGAGTTCCTGGCTTACCACAGACCGTAGTATGAACCCAATATGGACATTTTGGTGTCAGCTTCCCATTAGTTACATTTCTTGATCATGTTGCTCCTGAAGCATCTGTGAAGCGTTGTCGTAGAAGATTAAACTCAAATGGATTACATCCTGTTTGGACTAAAATTGGTCCTCGACAGTGACGGGGGACCAGAAAACCCCTCCATTGAGATCAGGGGGAATTAGACCATGCTGTCACTTCCCAACCCCCAAAAGGGACGTGGAGCGGGTTGTCAGGAGCAACTGCCTGGCATGCTGGGGTACTGCTTCCAGTTATGAATGGCGGCTTGTGCGGCCCAGATACCCCTCCTCTGATGTCATTGAAAAAGGCTTGAGTTTGGCGGTTCTTGACACTCTTCCCCCACCCCACACCCACCCACCACTGGTCAGACAGACTGTCTAGGTTACTTATCCCTTTATGTTGGAGCATGATGCTGGCAGCAGCTGATGCAGGGTCCCCAGGGAGCTGCCGCTGGGTCAGATAAGCAGAGCCTTTGATCAGCGCGGTGGCTTTGGTGCATATGTTGATGCAGGAGAGAGAGAGAGAGCAGCAGCAGCTAAATGCCAGGCATTGTTCTCAGCCTGGGCCAGGTGATGTTGTAGTCAATGACGGAGACATCAGTATTCACTGGCCGATTTGGCATACAGAGAGGGAATGCAGCTTTTTTTAAACGTCTTTAACTTTGTTGGTTGGTATGCTGCAGAACCACTTTTGACTTTATACGGCAGACACCAGCCTGATGAGTCATCAGTGTGACTCGGATATCTTTGACACATTCTTAATTATTTCAGTTTGGGGCTAAATCTAATAGAAAAATTAATCTGCAACTATTTTCATAATTTATAAGTTGTTCAAGTCATTTTTCAGGCAATAATGCCAAACAGCTCAATTGTTAGGATTTGGTGTTTATGTGATAGTAAATAGAAAAACTAGTGTTTTGACTGTTGGTTGAATGAAACAAGACATTTGAAGATGTCATCTTGAGCTCTTGTGAGTATTTTCTTTCATTTTTTAAGCTCAATGATTATTGGTTAATCCAGGAAATAAGTAGACAGATGGATCAATAATGAAAATAGTCATTAGTTGCAGTGTGTGTTTTCTCAGTTGCATCGTGATCACAATCGACATAACAACATTTTGAATAGCGAATAAACTTTAAGTTGTTACCAAATACTGAACGTTCTTTGGTTCCAGATTTCCCGCTTTTTTTCCTTTTTCATATCATTGTTAATTTAATATCTTTGGGATTTGGACTGTTGATCAGATAAATCAGTAATTATAATAATCATTAGTTGCATTACATTCAGAATTGAACGATGTGTTCAGTTCCCCTTTAAAATGTCAGTCCTCTGTTGTGAGCACATCTAATGAAAACTTTGGCCTTTAAACACACACACACACACACAGGGCCTGGTTTGGCACGGAGCCGGTACTTGTTGTTTACACTGCGCTTCCTGTGTGTCTGGGGCCCCTTGCCCTCTTACATCACCCTATTGGGTGCAGGAAGGACACAACAGGGTGAAGGGGCGACGGGGGGGGGGGTGGTAAGCGATGAGGTAGTTCATTAGACCCCTGGCCCATCCCAAATGAGATGCAGATCCATTCTCTGTTTGTTTCCTGAGTTCCTTCTTTTCGGGGTGGGGGGGGGTTGCCGCCCTTTTCCCTTTCCAGTCTTTTGATTTCACACTCTGGGTCTCAATACCGCTTCCTTGCCTCTTGTTTGCCTCATTTCCATTTTTCAAGGGAATGTGCTGCATCTCCACCCTGTTTACCAGGCATTGTTTGTAAGATTAGACTAATCGAGATATTGCAACTATTCCCTGTATTACAAACCTCTAGTTATTCCTGTTGGTGGTCTGACAGTGCGTTCCCCTCCTCGCCTCTTTTTTTTTTTTTTTTTTTTTTTTTTATCTGTTTGGCAAGAGACAGAGAAGGTAGTGCTTAAGAGTGAAGCTCTTAGCGTCATAAATATCCCATGTCTTGCCCTATATTCTACGCTGCACAGTGTCTCGGCGAGACATTAGCAGTGGTCAATGTTGCATCGGGAATGAGCAGCAGCAGTTGTTGGCTGTATTCATTATGACCGGTCACTATCATGTAATCATTTCAAAGCTTCGTATTGTCGAATGCCTGCTTGTTTTTGGTTCAAACTGTTTCACATTGATATGGCTTTTTACAGCTCCTCTCAACCGGAAGTGTCCTCCCTAAGCTGTTAATGAGCAGACACAGTCATGAGAATGTGCTGACATAGTTTGCTGGTTCTGTCATACAGTGAGTCATGTGTTTTGCTGTCTTGTTCCAGACACACTTATCTCACCCTGATACGCGGGTTTTTTGTGATGTTGACGAGCAGGTAGACATGTAGCAGTGTGGTTTATTGTGTGAACCCTGTGCTTGGTACAGTTGCCTGTCAGGTCCCGTAGCAGCCTGTATAGCTGTGTGGAGATAGAAGTGCTTCATTTATAATGTGGGCACATGGTTTTCTAAGAACCTATCCTTCTGTGCCTCTACCTTCTTCTTTCTTGGACATAAATATTCATACTCTGTTGTTATTAAGATGATTAAAGTGGAAAGGCTCTTCTTGTGCCCTGCAGTTACTGAGGTGACTTAAGTCTATTTAAGCGGCACAGGGGCAGCAGTGTGGGCATTTATAACCTACTCTAACAAAATAATATGCTGTGAAATGGGATTTCTGCTGAATCCCATTTTGTGTGGCAGTATTACTAGTTGTCCCAGTTATAACGTGGCTCTGTGCTCACAGTGTCATCAGCCAAACTCTAAAGTACTAAATCCCTTTGTGGTGGCAGTTTGGGGAGTGATGTACAGTGACTGAGCTTTGCAGAGCCAGTGCTACGATTTTTCAAACCAACATTTGAAGTCTCACATATATTTATATTTCGATATTACCATGCCTCTACCTGGGGAATTGCACTGAGCCTGTGCTAATTACCTGCTGATTCTCAACCTGCCATTCTGCTCCCACACTGTGCTTGTGCATGCGCGCACACACCCACTTCGGAAGGGGTTCCTTTACTATTTCTGCTGACTTTACCATATATATTATTACATTGTATCACTTTTGCATGTAAATGGGCTCGACTAAGCGCCTTAGTCTTTGTTTGACACTTGCAGCTAGAGAGGCACCATAGGGAGACATTATGGGGCCGACTGAGCCGTGGTGTCATGGTCATTCAATGATCATGCACAGCATGCTGAAGATCCCTGAACCTCCTCTGACCCACTTTGCAGGGTCTCAAAGCTGTCGAAATACCCGGCTGATGATTAGCAGGAGGATGAAACAAAGCAACCATGCAAGAACATCACTGATTTTAGATTGATTCACTTTCTACCAACAGATTTGTAAGAGATTATGCTAATAAGGTAAGTAGTATGCTCATTATAGTGACTGTAAAGTGTTTTCAAGAAGTGAATCAAGAAGTTTTGATAAAAACACTTTAGTTTCTAACTCAATAATTTGTTTAACAGAGATGGTTTCATTTGATTTGACAGTGGAATATCCCAATAACCCAACAACTATTATCAGATTCTGATTATTGTTTTGTAAGGTTATGATTGGAACGTGGATCCGTACCAACTAGCGTGAAGAGCGCAAACACAAATGCAAAGAAACATGTTGGACCCCATTGCTTTTAGTAGGAAGCAGATAAACACCCAGTTATTCAGGACCTCTGAAGAAGGATGGGCGGTTTCAAGCTTTTGAAACGCTGACCAAATGTTTGTTCTGTGTATTTTTCTCCCTTACCTTTCAACAATATGCCCGACCAAAGTGTATTCCTTGATGGAGACTCGTGCGTCTCAGGAAGTTGGATGGTGTGCATTGATTTTTTAACATGAATAATGTAAGTGATGTCATAAGATGGTAGTCTAATGGCTTTTGGCTGTAGTCGTCCCCTGGGTGCAGTGTCTCCGGGAGGCTGGAGTGTAAATATGCTAAAAGTGGTCTGCCTATAGACCCCCTCTGTTGTATTTGTTGTTAAAATATGGTAATGACATCAGGCAGATATTGCTGTTTCTGCAATGATTTCACACCACATGAGAACCCTCTGTAACAAAAGAACTGGATAACTTTATTAGCGTGGTTCAAGTCATGTTGTTTTGTCTGTGACAAAAGGCAGATCACGGAGCTCATGGTTTGAGGTACATCTGTGCAAATATTACTTAAGCATTCTCCTCAAAGCTCCGCATGGGTATGTCCCAATCCTGTTTGCTGTAATACACTTTTACTCATCTCTATGTCAGCCCAGGACAGGCAGCAATTACACTTTGCAGACTTCTTTGTTCTTTTTATGTTAAAGGTGCTCTGTAGAGGTTTCTTCAGTTTCGAACCAAAATGCATCACGTGAGGCTTGAAAAATGTGTTCAATGCATTTCCTTTCCCAGAAAATGTGTCATTCGGGTGTTTTCTTAAATATGTATTTTGAATTGTGCTTTTTTTTATAGTATATACTAGAATGTTTGCTAGCTTGCGGACTTCTTCTTCACTGTTTTTGTTGGTGCCTGAAAAAATACTCTTCCATCAATTTGATTATTTGATCCAAAGAAAATCAAGCACCAACTTTTTTGATAATCAATTAACTTTTAGTGCCATTTATCAAGTAATTTTTTTGATATATTTTATCTATATATTATTGGTTAAAGTAAAGATAAAAAGCAATTTAAAGAAGTCACATTGGGCTCTGGAAACCTGGACTGGACTTTGGGCTTTTCAGTCAGACTGCTGAATCAATCAGCCCTTGTCTCAGTCTCTTGCTACGCAGCAGCGATCCTCTCCCTCAGCTCCCATCCCATCTTCCTCCAGAGAGCTTCAGGTTTCATTGGTATTCATTGTCGGTATCACCAACATACCAGAGTATGTTACATTCTCATTCTCTTCATCATTGATGTATAGATTACAGTGATTGTCGGGCCCAGTCGCCCACAGTGCTGTCAGCCAGCCGATTCTCTGTGGCTTCAGTTCTCAGGTACATGGGGGGGGGACTTTCAGAGGATGTGAGGCAACACAATACTCGTCTGTCAGAAGTGCACCTGCTCATACCGACTTTGATAGGGCAGTTGTCGTGTCTGCCCCTCAGGGATTCGTAAGAAAATGGTGCTCTGAAAGATGATGAATTCAGAGACGAGGGTGTTGTGATGGAACGCCCAGGGTTGAGGGAAGCATCATTTGTTTGCAAAAATGTTGTCTGGATTTGGTTTCTAAAGTTTTCTGTGTAAGGATTTACCCTCTATAGAGTAACATAGTTTAAAATGAAGGTGGTTGCATGCTTTGGGCCGTGCGCTGTGTTTTTACATGGCACACTGCGTTTGTTTCTCTGCAGTAAACAATTTCAATTTGAAGTTAATCCCTGAATACATCACTGGCTCCTCCTCTCAGTCTTTTTTGTTACAAAATTGCACCTCTTCTACTTCCAGTCTATCTCACTACCATTCCCCCTCCTTCCTCTCTCCCCCCGTCGCTGTCATTGCAGTGTTTTGGACGCCGTTCCGTTGCCATGAAGCAACCGCAACAATGGCCCCTCTCTGTCAGAGCGCATCGCTGCCCGAGGAATGCTTGTTTAGTAGTGGCATGCCTCGACAGGGGAAACACATTGTCTTGTCTACCAGTTGAACTCTTTCATAGACTCTTGCTGCTGTTCTCTCAGGGTCATCAGTAACTGCCTCCGTCTGATGACATCGCCTTTCCATGTGCCCAGATGAGCTCAGACATCCTTTATCATGGGGGCCTGATACCTCGCTCAATGCTACTAAGCATTGTCGTTGCAGTAGTGAGAAATTGGCCACGGTTATTCATGCAGACCTTTGTCCAGCTTTGTGCCTCTTAGGTTTTATAATAATCAAAGTTTCAATCATTAGGGAGTCATGTGTTTAAAAAAAAAAAAAAAAGAAGTGTTATGGCTTTTTTTATGTTTATAGCTTAAGAGGCACACTGTACAGTTGCATACTCGATAGAAAGCTATAATCAATTCTCTTTTAAGCTGCTGCTGGTGCTCTTCTATCCAAACTGTTGAATAGCACAGCATTTGTAGGGTAAATCGTCAGTGCATTCACCGTCTCAGTGTGACCACCCCCTACTGTCTGTGTTGTTTTGAGCCAAAGTCTGTGTAATATACAGCATGTTGCCCCAGCGTTTACCTTCAGAGACTATGCAGAAGAAATTGTGCTCCAACACGGTTCCGCAGGGAGCGAAGGGGTACAGTGCTGAGTGGACAAAGCCAAGAGTCCCTCCCATGAGGGTCTTTGTCTGGCTGTCAAAGCCCAAGCAAACTAATGTTTGAGTAGGAGATTCAAGTTCAGCGGCGTGCCAAATGTGAGTCATGGTGCTGCGAGTGAAGCTGCTATCCCAACAAATCGGCCCGGCTATTCTTTTATCCAAAACAACTTTTAATTTACAGAGAGTACAGATAACTCATGGGCTTGATCGGACTCCTATTTATTGTTGTTATCAAGAAAAAGTTTGACTGCTTCTGGGAAGGTGATCAATCTAATTCTGTTTTCCGAAGCAGTTTAATTCACCTCAATAGAATCATCAGGATGCCAGAAAGCAATTACTGTGTTTTGCTCTGCCAGGGAGTCGGGCCATTTGCTCCGGCGGTCAGTCGATAAATTAGACGCACAGAGTAGAAAATGATGTTAGGTGTAGAGTTCGAGCAGCTAGACTTGAGACCTATTATCTTGTGCTTCTCTGCAGCAGATAATGTCGCTCAACAACCGAAAGAAACATTGTTCAGAAACAGAGGAGCTTCTTTGAAAGGTGTTCCGTTTCATTATCTTGTTACAGTGCGGTTATTTGAGTTCTCAAATTGAACAGTTTCTCAATGAAAACAAAGTCTTAGCCATGGACCCACCCATGTAGCTTTGTGAGGAAGTTTACATCATCTACGCTAAACTACTTCATAGGCCCAGTAGTGAAAGGAATGAAGACCAACTGGTTGAGTTCCGTCTGTGTGCTTGTCTTACCTTTTACCTCACTCGCTTGTTTTTTTATTCTGTGTCTTCCTCTCCAACCAGCTCCCCTCTCGGCTCTGAACACAAACCCAACGAGGCCTGACCCGGAGGGGGAGAGCAGCCCCCCGACCACGGATACCACCGAGAGAATGGCGTCTCCAGCTAAGAGAGACACCGATTGGAGATTGACAACCCCCACAAAACCTGACGTCATTCCTCGATCCCCCGGGTCACCTGCTTCACCTGTCCCCAGGTTGAAAAGTGGCAAAGGTAAAAAAGAAATTCCACCTGTGACTTTATTTACTTGTCTGTAACAACAAAGTTCAGTTGCTTAAAGGTTGCAGCTACATTTGGCCAGACACGAAACAGTGCTCTCATAGTGGTGCAATTGCATCTGCAATCTACTGGAGTTAGGTCAGCTGTCTAGAGGCAAGGCAGTGCGTCAGTGTCTGAGTGATGGCGACCACATGCTTTCAGACGTGAAGCTACATCCAGTAGAGCTGCTGCAGTTGTTGGAACAAGCATGGAACAAATTAGTAAAGGAAATATTGCAGTTAAATATGGACATGCACTGTTTTGTAAGGAAAGGTAGGCAACCTGAATAGGAACCCCGTTTCAGTGAGCGATGACAGGACGGCATTTAGTTTGACCGGGCAGTTGCACCATAGCCATTCCCGCAGTGCCACTTGAAGTCCTTGCAGCCACTGGCTAACGACACATGCAAACTCTAAGGAAAATGTTTGAGGGTTTTTGGAGTGTAAGCCTCTTTTCTCTCTCCCCTTTATTCTTTATCCATTAATCCATTCACTGTGGTCATGGTCTTTATTCCCCTTGCGTGAGGTGATGGGGATAAACTCCCAAAAGCCCTAAACTGTTCCCAAAACTATAACAATACTTCCAGCTTATTATGACCTTAGCCCATGTCAGTTATATCAAGAGTTTATGATAATCTATAAGTCTGGTCTATTTTAGACAAATATGCAGTTGAGTCCTTAGTCTGCCGATTCCAAAATGACACACGTTTCCCTTTTGACATTCCAAGTTCCTTCTCTGCTGGTTGTTGTAAAGCTCATTACTTGTGTGAAGTTTTTGCACCACCCAGAGGGATATTATGAAGATGAAAAGCACTCTGAAGCCACTTAATTAGTAAAAGGAAATGGTGAGGCTTGGAGTTGAGTTGAGAACTGCTGCTGCGTCTGGTAATAGTCTGCTCCGTTGTGTTTTGTCACATCTCAAACATTTTTCGGTGAAAGCGGTGATTTGCTTCCGTCCAAGAGAACCTCGTCATGTAGGTTGTGTCAAGTAAACACGATCTTGCCTGCACGGCTCTTATCATACTCAAATTCAGAGGACAGAATAACACAGAGCTGACATTGTGAGTGTGTGAACATTGCACCTTGCAGTGTTTGTTGGGCCAGTCTGTTCTTGTCTTTGTGAATGTGACGTTATGATTATCATGGTGGTGGTGAGTTGGAAACGGGGGCACATCACACCGACCAGCACCGTGCACATGGGCCGTAGTCCTATAAATATCAAAGTGGGTCAGAGGTTGTTCTTAGGGGAGGGAGGGGGGGGGGGGGCTGCATGGCAGCTTATTTTCATGTTTGTGTTAGACTTTGCTGAAGGATGAGTTCCTTTGGGTTTGATGATGAATATCTGGCTTGTGAAGATGGAGGGAGATGATGCTGCATGAAGACTAAAGAAAGATCAAGACGGCACTGCCGCACGCGCCAGTGTTTGGCATGCTGCAGGAATGCGGTCAGAATTTCAGGATGGCATTGTCCAGGCTGCGATTTTGTTTGATGAACAAACTTATACTCTATAATGAGACGGCATGCATTCATTTGCTGTAATCATATTTGTGTTGTCCATTGGGATTCAAATGTCTGGGCAATATGAGGATATACATTACCCCATTATTCATTAACTACCATACATACAAAGACAAAGTGTGCCTTTGGAAAGTCAGAAAGACAATATTTTAGTAGAAGCAGCTTTCATGAGAGGATGCAGTTAGAAGTGTTGGTACAGTTCAGTGTTTGCTTGCGTTGCCGTTTCCTTCGGCTTTTTCTCCCCCTGAGTGCTTCCACTGGGGTATTTGGAAGGACTGTTATGTGTGAGCAGAAGTCAGAGATGTCACAGAGAGAAGAGATGTATGTAAGTGGGCCCCTGTAGTCATAACATATCATAGTCAAACATACACCGACATGGCATCGGTGATTTAGTGAGCCTGCGGCTTGCCTCAGTTTGTATTTGGAGCAGATTGGCTTCCATGAAGATTCTTTTTCTCCAAACATTTCTTTTTTTCTTGATTTCTTGATCGGCTTCCGCTCTTTGTTGACGTTGACAGTTTCCTGTCATTGTCTCGTGGCATACGTTTCCTTAAGTGTGACATTTAAATGTAAAGCTTCCGTTGTGCTGATTTTTATTTTTTTTTTACAGCAGTGAAGAAAACATTTACTCGTATATTAATGTTTATCAGAGGAAAGGTGCGTCAGTGTTGCCCCAGGTCAGTTTTGGGTTGAGGAAGGTAACTGTTCAATGTCTCAAAACACATTATTGTACAGATACATTTACAGAACTTTGAACTTAAGGTGTTACCGGTAACTTAAGTGCTTTGTTAAGAAAAGACTATTTTAGATATACTGAATATTAATTATTAAGACATAGACTTATACATATATCCATCGTGGATATGTAGCATTGTGGAAAAAGACTAAATAATAAATGATCTGTCCTCAAGGAATGAGTTCAGTCAAGTTGAGCTTGACTAACCAGCTTTTAGTTCTTAGTAACAGCTTTTTCATCTGTATGTTATCTGTATGTGTAAGTATGTTTTGAATCTCACTCTGTAAAAAATTAGGCCAAACATACTTCAATTATGAATTCTTATGGAATTATGGATTCGATTTATATTTATGGATTAGACTTATATTTACACATTCTCTCCCTCTTTTTCTCCTTCTCCATCCTCGTCCCAGACATCGTGAAAGCAGAGGAGAGGCAGAAGCTTGCCAAGGAGCGGAGAGAGGAAAAGGCCAAATATCTTGGTAGGTTGAATAAAGGGGTGCGAGGACAAGTCCATTACACAGGAGGAGAGCTCCCCCTAGTGTTGGGGTGAAAGAGGTTGTTGTTTTACACTCGCAGCTGTGTTGCTACTAAGCTGGCTCCAGGCTGCAGATGGCATGCACATGCAGCACAGAGAGGATAAAAGGGTAGTTTGGGCTTCTGTATAGAAGTGGGTCCGGACCTTTTGAATCCGCCTGCTCCACTCAGTTGACTGCTTATCAGACAGTTCTGTCTGATATCTGACAACAAAAGTGATTTAAAATCAGCAAAAGCCAAGCCACCATTTTACCAAAGACGAGCAAGCTTTTATTTTCTACGTGCATGTGTGATGTTTGTTTGACACATTAGCGCTGAAGCTCACTCTCCACTAACATGTATGTTAATACAAACTGTATTAAATAGAGATATGTAAAAGATAGTGTCCATATCTGTTAATAAATCACATTATTTTACAGCTATACAGTATCTCTTATGACTTAATGTTATTTTGAAATCTGTTTGCAATAGCGCCGAGTCATCACAGCACAGAAGCCTTCTACATTTTATCCCAACTTGAATTCATGTAATGTGATCAACTGGGGCAAAATCTCCTCAGGGCCTGTCACTTGGGCAATATAGCCATTGACATGGCCGTACTTTTTTTTTTTTTTTGTGTAAGTTGATATTGCATCTCTTTGCCCGAGTCCTTATTTTCTATTGAACACACGGCTGTCACTTTTTCACCTGGCTACGCGCTGGTTGTGCACTGCTTTGCATGACTGACAGTTGCCTATGTCTTCTCTCTCACTCCTCCTCCCCCCCCCCCCACCTGCAGAAGAGCTCAGCTTGTTACAAGGTAAGCCACTCACCTATGTGTATGTGGTGGTGGTGGTGGTGACCCATTTAGATCATTCTGTCATATTTGGATGTCTCAATTTAATAATGATCAGTAGTTGTAACTACAGCTGGGCAATAAACTGAAAACTTACCAATATACAGACATTAGGAGTCATTCAAGCATCTTGCTCCTGGCGCTATGCTTTTTAAAAGCTCTTGAAAAACAATCCCTAAAAACATTTTTGAAACTTTATTGTCAGTTTTATTATTATCAAGGTAAAAACTGTAAATAAAAAAAGTTACAATATTGAGTTTTAGTCACATTGCCCAGCTCTAGAGTGGTTTCGTTCATTTAATCCCCATGGTGTTCCTTGCTTTAAAATCATGGTTCGTAAATATTTTTATTTGTCATAGACATTTCAACTAATTGCAACCTTTTCTCTCTCTGAAGATCATCTTTTACAAAAATCATGTAGGCATAGACTGTTCAATTAACCATAAAGAAATGTTATGATTGGTTGTGAAGCAATGTGGCTTAATCTCAGGTCACATATAAGAGCAGGTAGCGTGCCCTTTGTTTGAACTTTGTTCATCCACATGTTCCATCTGCAGACGCCACAGAACTCTTTGGGTTTTGCATTTAAAGATAACATGTTTGAACCACATTCCGCAAACCTACTATGATTACCATCCTACTGAAGAAATCCAATTTATTTTGGCTGCAAATTCACATCTAAACAATCATGATTGAGTAGAAACATACAGTCTGAGTTCATTATAACTTTAGTGTTAGAGAGAACTTGGTAACATAGTCTAAATATGCTGACTTATGCTAGCCGCGGTTTCATTAAGCTATATTAATATTTTAGTAAACGCAATATATCTATCTATCTATCTATCTATCTATCTATCTATATCACTTGTAGACAATTCATTGTCACGACATATATCCTCACATGACACTGACATCTTTAAACTACTTTCAGTAACGCCATGCAGTCAAATCCAACTGTGTGTTCGACAGCAGTGAGATGAGTTTGGCACACTTCATAGTGCGGATCAGTCTAATTGGGCGATCACAAGGGCATGCCAGATGGTACGGGTCTGATCTAATAATCTCAGTCAGAACTGGGTATAAGATTAGATCCAAAGCTTGTGTTTACAATATCAACTTAACAGGGATCCTGGCCAGAAAGGCTCATCAACCATCACCAGTAGTATTGGTATGTTAGCATTAAATGGGCCACAATCGGAAATCCTCGCTCGTATCTTATCGGTTCTTTGTGATGTTTAAAAGAAGCTTTGAGGGAATTGTATCAGCGAATTGGCTGCGACTGCACAGAAGCTACTCTCCAGCCTTGTCCGTCTTTGGTGGATTATTATAAATACTTTATGTACTAGGGTTAGAGCGGCACTCTGCTTCTGATTAGTTCATGGTCTTACTATATTAGGCCTCGATGCTACATGTCAGCACTGATCACTGTGAGGAGAGAGTTGAGGAACGCATTTTAAATGTCCGCTTTAGATTCTGTTTAGAATCTGTTTATCACTTAACGCATTACTATAGATGATTAAATGACTGATGATGAATGGCACTGAAAAGCAATGGGCAATTGTTTACATCGTGAGCTGATATCATTCAGACTAACCTCTCTGAAGCCCCCAGCCACACACTGTGAGTGGGTGTGAGTGGGTGCAGCCTTCAAAGTTTCTCCTGTGAGTTGGGAGGAAATGTCAGGGATGTTGACAATGGTGATCTTTCTCTGCGAGCCTTTAACATTATATTAGCGCACGAGATGGAAGCAGGTTTCCCCCCCCCCCCACCCTCTGTTCTCAGCACAGCACAACGAGTGACCTATGAAGCAGTTTCCACTACTCTTTGCTTGCACTACCACGTGTAAAGATCCGCAGCACTGCAAGGTTAAGATGTGGCTTCTCCTAAACTGCGGCCATTGTGCTGCAGTGAGCTGAGAGTCGCACTGCAGCAGATATTTTCTTTGCTGCACCGTGCTGGCAAGCAGTGCCTTGGTATAAAAAAAGCTGAACTCTGTGCCTCCCAATAAATTGTAACCCCTCTAGCCTCCAGCATTTCTGCAATGATCCGTCACCATAATCTTGAATCCACAACCAGTTGCCTTTGTTGCATCAAGTGCTTAAGAGAACTACGCCTCGCCTCCTTGCAGAGGCTGATTCTTCACGGAGGTTTTGCTTTGTAGTTTAAAGAAATATGGTGAGTTGTGTACACAGAGAGGCAGCTGCGAATGGCTTCTTTACGCCCTCTTTGAATGGCTCCGGGACAACGAGACGATTTCCATATCAAAGTGTGCGGTTTATTGAAGTTGAAGTGGGGGCTTGATGCGATTAGTGTGGTGTAAAAGTGTCACTTCAGAAGTACTGTATCTGTCTAACTACGCTTTATGCTGCATTCTGTGGAAAAGTCAAGTAATTGAATTTATTTTCCAAAACACAAAGTGGGATTGAGGTGGAGGGACACAGCTGTTTTCAAAAACAGCTGGTGGATGAGAAGTATACATCAGAGAGGCAAACTACATTGTTCATAAAATCACCCAACCTATCAAAAGATGCTTTCAACAGATATCACACTTCTCTTTCAAGTCCAAACAGACACTTGAAAGAGAATGTGTGCCATACCAACTGATGGAGAGGGGACTCCTTTGGCCACTGCTCTTTTGGTAAAGTCTCACTCTCTTGACCATGTTTTGTGCCCCATCTTAGCTGCTAAAAAGAGCCAGTGGCTGGAGAAGGAGGAGAAGGCGCGGCAGCTGCGGGAGCAGCAGTTGGAGGAGCGCCGCAGGAAGCTCGAGGAGCAGCGGATCAAGGCGGAGAAACGGCGAGCCACCCTGGAGGAGAGACAGAAACAGAAACTGGAGAAGAATAAAGTTCGTATTGACAAGAAAAACTGATTGTTAGAAAAGTAATCCATTCAATATGTGACGGTGTTGTATTAGTGAGGACAGTTACACATAATTCCCTTTCTCACATGATACCCAGAGGTTAAATATTTATGCCTTCCATCACGAGGTTGACCACTGATCAGGATCAGCTGCAGATGAGGGGATTTAGGATTTTGCTTTTGATGCAATAGACATCCAAATAACTGATATCTGTTCCTGTGTCCTTTCCAGGAACGCTATGAGGCAGCCATCCACAGGTCAACCAAGAAAACGTGGGCAGAAATCCGCCAGCAAAGGTGGTCCTGGGCTGGTGCACTAAGCCAGAACTCCAGCCAGAAAGAAGGTGAGTACGCTGAACCAATCTGGATACACATCCTCATAAAATAATAACCGAGGAACTCACCTTTAACCACGGAAAAATTACTGACTCATATAGCAAATATGAGGCATTTGATGGAAGTTATCCGGCTGGATATGTGCTTTTACGGGCTATCGATTCTGTCTGTTGAGGTTTTTATTTGTCAATTCTGGCTATTGAGTTTCAGTGCCATTAACCTCCTACAGTCCATTAGAGGAGAATTATGTTAGCATCAGTTCCCGGTCCAACGACAGAAAATGAGGACCTCGAGGATCGTTCATCTGCGGATCTTGCTGTTGTTGGGGAAAATACTAATTTTTATAGACTATAAAAATTAGTATTTTCCCCAACAACAGCAAGATCCGCAGATGAATGATCCTTCCGCTGTAATCAAAAGCAGATCTTAAATCACTAATATAACTGTCTAATGTCCTGACAGGGGTCACGTTTTCCTTTGAAGATTGATAAGGCTGTGCGCTCACAGATTTGTCAGTAAAATGTGGGAAAATAGTGAAAAGCTGACCATCTCAATTTCCCAGAGCTTAAGATGATGTCTTAAAATTACTTGTTTTGTTTTACCAACAGACCAAAACCCCCAACTCTTTCATTTACAATCATATAACACTGAAATTTGAGAAGCTGGCACCAGCAAACGTGTGGTATTTTTGCTTGATATAGTTCTTGAATAATTAATCAGTTATCAAAATATTTGTTGACTCATTTTCTGATCTTTTTTAGAACATGACCATTTAGGTGGATCTGAAGCATTGCAGCCTGAAATTGGTGAATTGTACCAAAATCGATTTTGTTTTCTCTTTTTCAATCTATACGGCAAAATCGATGTGTTAGTTCGGTGTACAGTGTTTTATGCTCACTACTGGGGCAGGCATATAAAGTTAGCAGGTGCACAGTCTGGAATACTGCCCAAACACATATCGACAGCACGGGAAGTTTGGTTTTGTTATATTTTAATCTGATGTGCCATCGCTGCTGCGTCAGTCGCGCTCCTCCATCTTAGCACACCCTTCCCTCTGATGTGTCGGCTACTACAGCTCTGTCCTAGCAAGCTGTTGCTCTTTGACATTACTTCAGGGTCAGTGTGATGAATGCTTCTGTCCCTTTGTGCCATCCTCTCGACTTGAAGCTCTAAAAAGTCCTGAGTTCTATCTTATGCCATGTAATCGCTTCTGCCATATGCCAGGGGAATTATTGACACTCCAATCAATCTCTCCTTACTCTCCCTTCCTGCCGTCTGATAGATGATGAAAGTAAACAAGCCTAAACAGGCTGCAGTGGAGTGGCTGAGAGTTTGGTTTGCTCCAAAGTACCCATCTTGGCTTCGTTCAAAAGAGCAAACTGCCTCATTGTAAACAGACAAGGCCAGCTTTAATACTGCACCTTCATTACTGTAATGCTCTCTGAATCATGTCTGATGTCATTTGGGGAAAGAGCAGAGTGTTCATTTGATTACAGTGTATTAAAGGCATGTATACCTGGGATAGATGCAAGTATTCCTCATGGATGGTTCAGTTATTTTTGCCCTTTTATGAAGTGCCCTTTCACTTCATCAGCCATGAAATGGGCAGATGTGTCTCAGCAGCCTCTTTCCATCACATGTTTGATTGTTCTTGAGGCATATTTTCTTGTTCACTGCTTGTTGGTAGCTTTTATAAGGTGGACATAAAAGGTTCCTTCTTAGTGGGGTTGACGTGACTTTTGGAATCGGTGTTGTTGGGAAGTAGGAATGTTAATCTCATGGGAGGTGAGAAGAAGAAGTCTACTCATTTCACAAAAATTACAAAAAAACAAAGTTGTTTTCTCTTTTTCTTTAATGGAGTTGAATGTTCTCTAATGGGCAGTTTGCCGCAAGGATACATAAAGACACACAAAACCCTAAACACTGATGGAAAGCAACAACAGAACATAAAAAAATTTAAGTAGTCTGTGTAAATGAGCAAGATACTGACAAGATTAATAGGCTACCATCTGCCGTTTAACATGTGAATGGCAGCAGGGACAAAGGAAACATTACATCTCTTGGTTCTTATAATAGGCGCTTTAAAACCATGACCTGATGGTAAAAGTTCAAACTCTGTCCAAAGGGGGTGATCCTGAAGGGAAGTGACCTTCCTAAGTACCTGATTTTTATACATGACTGTAAGCTGGACTTGACTCCTCCCTGAAATCTTACTCGCCACTTTGATGAGGCCTCAGTCTGTTTTGGTTGGCCAAAGTCAAGTTCCCATGCCAAACTACAATGCAGAACATTACAACTGATTCAATAAAACTAATTTCCCTTTAAGGGACAACATTTTTTTTCTTAGTTTGGTGTGCTCACGGCATTAGCAATGCCATTTTAAAATATTCACCAGCAACTCATTTTCTTCTGAAATATTTCCCCTGTTTTCCTGGATTACCTCACTGCCAGCAGTTTTCACTGAACCAACTTCTGTAGCAAAGAAATAGTGCCAATGGAAACGGTTCACAGTGTGTTGTGTGGATTATGGGTCCCTGATGACACACCTAAAGGCTAGCTGAAGTGAACGTGTGTGTGTGTGTGTGTGTGTGTTTACGTTTACTTTAAAGCAGTGGAAGTTATTATATACACGGCCAGCACACAGGAATTTGCTTTAATGCAGGTTGCTCACATTACAAGTACGGTACTGTACCGCTGCCTTCACGGTGTGTGGGTGCATGTTTACAGAGGCATCATTCGAGCATAACACATGACGCCACAGAAGTTCCCCCCATCTGACTCTCAACCATGTGACCTGTGTGAACATCTGTGTTGGCGCTCTCTTGGCTTCTTAGGCAGATGCTCTGTGTCAACGGTCAACCTGCCCAAACACGTGGACTCTGTTATAAACAAGCGACTGTCCAAGTCCTCTGCTACGCTCTGGAACTCCCCCGGCAGAAGTAAGGCAACATCTGGAATGCCCCCCCCCCACCCCCCACACCTCCTCCCGTTTAACTGTGTCCATCACTTTGCCACGCCAACTCCTCCGAACCCGTTTATCATCATTGTGCTCTTCCCCTTCATGATTTCCGTCCCACTCTTTTGCTTGGTGGTTGGCAGCTGACCCATTTCTATCTTCCAAAACCACTTTGAGTTCTTTTTTGTTAACTCTCCAGAATTTGGGTCAGGTTTTTGTTCTGCATGCTCATATTTTATATGAGTTATGTGCCGTGTCCACATTTTGTTGTGCTGTCCGTTTCACTATCCTTTTGTTGGTTCATTGTGTGGTGATGGTCATTTCATGTGTTTGCACAGTCAAAGATCCTTTTGTGCTCATTTTCAACCTACTGGATATGGGATGTCTTTTTATATTGCCTTGAATGCTTTATTGATTGATGCTCTGGAGGTGGGTGTGATTTCTAAATGACAAAGTATTTCTCTGAATTATCTTTGTGTCTTTCAACGAAGCTTTCTTCATGCTGCGGGTGTGAGCAGCTCTTCTTTATAGGTCTCCAGTTAACCAGGTCACGGTGTACTCCTGCAAAAAAGGGGAGAAACTTCAGGGCTTGAAAAAAGTAAAGTTAGTGAGTGAGTCAGCATTTTTCAGGAGATAGTGTATTCTAAAAACTCCCCGGAGCAGGTACTGTACTGTTCCTCTGTGCTGCTGGAGAAAATAGATGGGGGAAGACACTCTATTCCTCTTGTCGCTCTCCTCTCTACCTGAACACTACAACACACACCATGTGTGTGAACATTCACTGCAAAGTCTTCGTCGTCCTGCACCTTAAAGCCAGAGGAGGAAGTTTCACCCCCAAATAAATACTCTTCTTCGTCTCTGCTTGTATGCTCAAGGCTGTGGTTATAAATAACTGACTCACTGTCTAGACAAGCATTTCTCTTGGGTGGTACCGAGGTGTCTTATTGGGGTTCTCTGTGTTTCATCGGGTCTTTATGGCTTGTAGACATACTGCTACAATAACCATAACTTACATAACTCTTTCTTTTCACTTCTCTTTGGTGACAAGTTTTAGACTTTATTCTATCGCTGTGTCTGGGTACTGACGGAGAACTCTGCAAAGATTGATTTCAAATGGGCTTCAGTTCTTCTAGTACTTCAGGTTTGACCGCTGTTTGGGGGTGATACACTCTGGTTCAACGGAGGACATCCATTTTTGACATATCTTTTCATCAATCTGTTTTTCCAACCTGCAGCCCGTAGCCTTGCACTGAGTCCATGGGAGAGCAGTATAGTCGACCGGCTGATGACGCCAACGCTGTCTTTCCTCGCTAGGAGCCGCAGTGCTGCCAGTGTCCTCACCAATGGCAAAGATGGTCGTAAGTTTAAAAAAAAAAAAAAGAGCGTTAGTTTAATATCTGTCTTACCATAAATACATGAGATGTTGCTGTATGAATGTCGGCGAGCTTTAATTGTAGGTCACTTCTCTCCACAGACTCTCCTGTCTGCCCCCGCTCGGCCTCAGCCAGTCCCCTCACGTTGTGCGCCCACCAGCCCCACCGCCGCTGCTCCGACCGCTGGAGAGTGACGTCCAGCACACCCGACATCACCCAGCGCCAACACAGACGGAGCTCCACACCCGTAAGTCTGCCCAGTTAGCTTTAGCCCTGTGGTTCTCCTATCCGACAGTCAAGTGTAGTCACAGTCTTCTGAGACTTACAACAACGCTCGACTCTCTCAATAATAAGTGAGCCGTTTCCCAGGATAAAAGCGTAGCTAAACAGCCATGAAATGTATAACGGCTGATTCTGTTCTAGAAATGGGGGGATACAGTTCACCTGTACCAGTTGAACATTTACCAGTGAGATTGTTGTTTCCAAAAGAGCAAAACATAGTGCCTGACCTGTACTTCATGTATGACAACCTTTAGTGTATCTTGTCTTATTTTTTGTTTCAATCATAATTGAATGTTATTTTTGAATGGCACATGAAAAAGATTTAAATGTGTTAACCTATTTTCATCTTTTTGTTGTACAGATGGATAAAAACAAGAAAGAAAAGAAAGACAAGGAACGGGAGAATGAGAAGGAGAAGAGTGCCCTCAGTAAAGAGAAGGTGCTTAAGAAGAGACAGTCTCTACCCAGTATGAGACACCGACCGGATCCAAGGTAAAACGCACACTTTATTTGTACTTTTTTTCTTAGGGGGATTTCTTTCAGTTCAGTTTTAAATCTGTCAGTTAATTTAGATTTTACTCATCTGTTATATGTTCCTTATGTGTGTCATATTTACCACTAACCTGGTTACTGTTTTCATCGACCAGATCTCTAATTATGATAATAAATTGTCTGTTTACACATTCAAGAAAGACTATGGTCCATTACCACTGCTGCTAGGCAATCACCTTTTTTCCCTTTTGGATGGCAACAACAACTCAGTCATTTTAAATGAGCTGACATGAGCTGCAGTCATCGCCCTCTCAGTTGGTATAATGTTTCCCACTCTATTCAATAATAAGACGAACCATTGAGGAATTATATTGTTAGGCCTGCAACATTCATTTTATAACTAATTTATTTATCGATTATGTCGGTCTATACAGCAGTTCATCTTTTCGTGTAAAAAATAATAATCCAGCGCCTAATAGCAAAGGCTATTACAATAACGAAAGAGAATTTCACAGTTAATTCTGAAAAGCAAATTGTTTTTTTCTCAAATGTGAGGATTTGCTGCCCCATTGCCTTTTGTCAGATTATCTCGCAATCTTCAGATGTCTGTATTGTTTGTACAAACAGCAGTCCGAAATTCTAACTTGGATTCTGGGAAATCATAATAGCATTATTTCATATTATTACTAATTGAAAAAATAATGGGCAGATCAATCCATCATGGGCAGAATTGTTCATCGAGGTCTCGGTTGAACATTAACATAGTTGATAAATGCACGGTAAGTTTGAAACCTCGTGAAAGCTCCAACTGAAAAGTGCACCATATAAAGGTATATATTTTAAAGCTACAATCTCCACTTCAAAAAATATACAATTTCCTTAAAGAACCATTTGCAAAATCTGACATCTAATAATCTGCTGCTTTGACGTTTATACAGATTATATAGGTCATCAAAACTGTATTTTAAACAAGGTTAACCATACACCCCCCTGACCCACAAACAGCTTGTTTGTGGTCAACAGCTGGGTTAGGCAGAGAGACCATGTTTATGTCTGCATATTTCATGCACTGTTTGACCCCAGACATGAAAGATCCCGAGACGAGCGGTCATTTCCTCTCGTATCCCCAGGCCACTGAAGTAAATGACATCCATCACAGATGGGATGGAATAGCAGGAAAAAAGTTCCTTTGATTCTTCAAAAAGGCCACAAAGAGCGTGGCAAAGCTGTCAGTGCCAGAGGGCAAGAGGAAATAAAATGTCTTCTTCAGCATAATGGATGTTTCCCCTTAAGTTTTGCTTTGCCTGTGTATGGCTGCGATGCTGACCGTTAAAGCACTTTGAGGGTCATGATGCAATGTTTGAGTGCGTTGTCTGCTAAAGTCTGGTTTCTTCGGGACATGCGTCTGGTTTGTAAACAAACATTTCAGCCCACGTCTAAAACACCAATGTGTCCAAAGATAATTGTTGCTAAATTTCCCATCTTTCTTGTATTTTCTTGTGTTACAGTCCTAGTCCTTTATCGAGACAACGGCCGTCATCCCCAGCTACGCCGAAGGGCAGAACTGCCTCCCCCAGCCCTGCTGCCTCCCCCAAGCCTCCATCCACACGTGGAAGCCCGTCAACCCCTAAAGGACGACCAAAAAGAGCCAGGACCCCTGCCAGGATAGACCACCGCACCTCTTCCCCCGTCCCCCTCGAAAGAGTGAAGGCGCCTCGCAGGCCCGCAACTCCCGATAAGAGAGAGAGTGAGTACAAGAAAATGTTCTGATGGGAATTATTTCTGTCTGAACTGGATTAAAAAACTCGTACTCGGGTACTAACCCAGGTCTAAAGAAAATGTCCTTCTCAGGGAGTAGTACTTTACGATGGTTCAGGTATTTAGTAAATTCTTTGCAGAGTGACACCCTTATCAGCCTTATTAGAATTAGATTTTTTTTCTAGAGCATTAGCAGGTAAATTGTTTGACCTTGGGAATAGTAGTTTGACAAAAAAAATCTTTATTCAAGGTCCAGTTACTAGCTTATTTCCAGAGCTTTCAATCCCATCTCACAAGCTTCATCAGTGATGGAGTTTGATCAGTTGACATTGTCTGACCTATGTTGGAGGAGTTGCCGACGAAGGCCATTGAAGGACTTGAAAGCTGTGGTACAAGCTAGCGAGTAGACCTTGAGTACAGATTATTATTGTTATATTATCATTATTATTTTGTAGATCAGTATACTGCACAATAATCCTGACTTTGTTGCAATTTGTCATCTCTACAGTGATCAACTGTCCTATTCCTTTTGGGTAGCTTCCCTCCATGTCTGAGTCATACTGATTTTATTTTTCTTGTTATACCCAAATAATTCTTCACTGTGTGGCTTGGTCTCTTCCTGTTACTAGCCAGAATAATAGCTTAATGGAAAAAGTAAGAAAGCCCCAGGAAAATCAGTATCTCTTTCAAGAAGCAATGGGCAGTGATTACCATGCGGCTTAATTAGCCATTAAAACAAAGTACTGAGTGAGCCACACACAGCTCCACAGTCTGTGCCTTCTCAAACACACAGCACTAAGAGGCTTCACTAATCAGCCTTAATTATGCTATTACCAAGTTTTTAGGCTGACGCTATGGTTGTTTACAATTTCCAGTTGCTAGGGACAGAATGTTTCACAGTGCAGAGAAAAGGCTGCGGTTGAATGTGTTATTAATAACGATCGATCGGCACCACTTTAAGAGTCGTTACTTGTAGGGAAGCATAAGTTATCGCATCAACGATCTCTGGTAAGTTACACAGCACAGGATACCTGTGTTATTGTCCCTTCTGTAACACTAATTTTCCCTGTCTTAGGTTCCGCCGTGGTTCCTGCCATCACAGTAGCCTCCGCCTCCGCCTCACCCCGTCCCTCGACCCCATCAACCACTGCAGCCTCCCCCTCACCTGAGCCAGTCCATTCAGCTCCTTCTGTTCCTGCATCATCGCCTACACCGTCTCCATCAGCCAAGCCCATGGCAGGCACCAACAACCCAGAGGAGGCAGCTCGCATCCTGGCAGAGAACCGGCGACAGGCCCGAGAGCAGAGGGAGAGGGACGAGCAGGAGCGCCGCGAACAGGAGGAGAAGGAGAGGTTAGAGGGTTCTAATATGCCTCAAAACACAACCGCAGATGGTCGGCACAGTGTTGACCTTGCATAGTCATAGATCTGTTACGTTTTTTGACACTGCATGAGAAAAAAATATTCTTAAACACGCCTGTGTCTTTGCTGAATGACAGTTATTCCCCAGCTGTGTTGCCACTTATGGGTTTGGTCTTGTAACTACTCATTACTTTTTTTTCTCCCAGTCAGCCATCTCAAGAATAGTACAGAAGTTAGTTTGCAATGTCACCCTCAGGCATATAACATTTGAACCAATGCTAAGTATAGAAGAATTTATTTTTAAAGTGATGATTTATTGGTTTAGAATATGCTGCAAAACAAAGCTCACCTCGGGCATTTAGCTATTTCCCATGTAGTGAATGAAAAAGGCATTAACTAAACAGGAAGGCTCCACGCACTATCACAGCACATTTATGTCTTAAGCCCTCACTCAACACTGCCTCTGATGTGTGGACGCATTACGAATTTGATAGCCTGTTGGCTGATCGTAACCACAGCAAGTCGCTCTTTACAGCTTGTGAATTGATGTGATCTCTTGTTGGCACTAAGACTTCCAATTGTTTCGAATTGGTTTCCTGTTGCTTGTGCGTCAGCAGACGTGGTAAAAAATAAAGAAGAAATGTCCATTCAATAGAATAATTTGGTTGGCACAGGATATTTTGTGGTAAATAACTCATTCTTACCCTCATGCCCAAACTCTTTAGGATCCTGAGAGAAGAGCGAATAGCTAGGGAGGCCGAGGAGAGGCGACTTAGGGAGGAGGAGGCACGTGCCATGGCCGAGGAGCAGAGGAGGAGGGACGAAGCCCAGCGCGTGCAGGACGAGAAAGAGGCTCAGGAGAGAGCCAAAGCTGAGGAGGAGGAGAACCTGCGCTTACAAAAACAGGTATATTGACTGTGAATGCGCAGCATGCACAGCCAGCTGGAATATACGTTGTTGGTGAGGTTGCAGTGGACAGGTCCGGTTAGTCACATAAGGGTTAAAGCCCATAGTAGTGACAAGGACCATTATGCACCACTGTGACAGTTATGACTGCGTTTCAAATAAAGGTTGAGACACACATGCATGCACTCCTCACGTCATTCCCAGGCACTTTATCCACCACGCCATAAACTTAAACGCTCTCCTATCTTTGGCAAACAAAGATGTTTCTTGTCTCAGCTCAGCTGCTCACCTCACGCTGACCTTTTTGGGAGCTACAGGTCCGAAAGCATAGTCCAGTACTTTCTACGTCAGTGGGATGTTGTTGTCCTCTAAAGGAAAATATTAATCCAAACCGGTGAGCCGGTAGCTCTGATGAATGTGCCCTTTTTACTTTTCAGTTCGTCAAATAACCGTTAAGCAATATTGACTCTTTGTGTGTTTGTCAATGTTGCCAGGGAGAAGCGGATGAAAATAATAGCGATGCTTGATTAGTAGAACCAGGACATGTGGCTGTTCATCACAGTATTTGATTATCCTGTAGACCTGTAATATAATCAGCTGAGGCATTGTCTATTCTCTGTTGATGCTCGATTATGCTTTGCCACCCCCTTGTGGTCTTTTACAGAAGTGGCATTTGTGGTTAAACACGATCCAATATAATTACCCAAAGGCTTGAGTATTGTATTTCTCTTTGAATGGTCCTCACAAGGCTGTTAATGTTGAAAATAGATCTTTTTTTTGGCTCAGATGTACAGGAAAGTATTCTTTTTTTGTGGTTGTAAACAATAATTGCAGAAAGCAACCACACCCTTATGTCAAAGGCATCCTATTTTGGCCGAGTTGTTCTTTTTCCCCTTCAGCCGGCATTCAAATTGTGATTGGATTCTCGCTTGTGCGTTTCAGAAGGAAGAAGCTGAGGCTAAAGCCCGGGAGGAGGCGGAGAAGCAGCGTCTGGAGAGAGAGAAACACTTCCTGAAGGAGGAGCAGGAGAGGCTGGAGAGGAAAAGGGTAGGGCAACACATCTGTCCTCCCATCACTTCTGCTTTCAGCCAGCTTTTAAAGTCACCCATTTGCAATCGGACATAAGCATTTTTTACAGAATGAAAGTAGATATTTAATTCCTAGTCATTTTCCAAACATCCTTAGCTCGATGTTTTGGGGGAAAACTGCCTTAAAAAATATATATAAATAGATTGATGCTTTACAAAGACCCAGCTTTGCTCTCAACTGCATAAATATCCTCAGTGGAGGCATTATATTCTATATTATGTTCACTTTGTGGTCTGCCTTTTGACAATAGCAGCCTAGAAAGTTGAGTCCCTGAAACCAAGATGAATGATGTTTTTGGCTTATCCTGGATTGCTTGTCTGCATGCCAGGATTTAATAGGGCTTAGACTGTGTGTCGAGCATGAAGATATACTCGCGCTTCTCTATGCTAACTAGATTCTCTCCATGAGAGAGAGGCTCAGCCAGCCCGAGCCTGACTGCATGCTGGAATTAGCCCACAAGAACAGCATGTCCTCTGCCCAAAAGACTCACTGTACTCTTAGTTACACTGTACAACACACTGTTATTGACTGACTTCTACCGAAGCTGACCGGCCTGCTTTTGGTATCGCCTCAACAAAGAGAAGTTTGTGATCAGTGAGCACAGGTGGTGCACAGGTGGTTTAATAAAGTATCCTGAGGGGAAACATAACTTAGACAAAGAAGAATCTTCAGTCCTGAGGCAGAAGTTCTGCAGCAAAGCTAATGCCAAAGCCGTGTGTGTGTGTGTGTGTGTGTGTGTGTGAGTGTGTGAGCTCTCCATGAATAATCTTGGATCTTAAAAAATGCTTCACTTTTATGGTCTTACTGTCCCAGGCCAGCAGTGTCCTCAGATAAAGTTTCCATTTCCCATCAAACCTCTGCCTTCTGTGCATACAAATTATTCACACAGAATGGTTTGTTCATACGAGTATAGTGACCTCTATCCTACTGTTCACTGTTCGACCATCCTACGACCAAGTGCTGCTCCGTCATTATTTATTATTATTTCAACTTTCCACCTGGAGTGCAGTGCATTCACTTTAAGCACCACGGCCTTATACACAAGAGACAGGAACTCCTTTTCCCCAGTGAAGAGACCCAATGAACAGCAACATGTAAAACCTCTGTTATTAAGCGAAACAGTGTGACAAGGTGTGTGGGCTCAGTCTAGCCCACTAAACGTAACCCAATTTTGAACAGCCTGACATCTTTATTTCTTAAATGTATAAACATTTCTGCGCTGATATCTTGTGTCCCCCGGCACAAAATGCATAGAAAATCCAACAAACACTTAATAGCTTCTGTTTTTGGCATTTGGTTCCATGTGTCTTTTTCCTTTGTCTTATCCCTGACTCTTTTTTTTTTTTCTCAGCGTCTGGACGAGATCATGAAGAGGACACGCAAGACAGATGCAGGCGACAAAGTACATTTTGTGTTCAGTTTTAACCAAAACAACAGGCTAGAACTTGACTTAACAATAAAAATGACTGTAATTATCTCCCATCGTCACAGAAAGAGACCAAGTCCTCCCCTCTCACAAACGTCAACGACAAAGATGCAGAGAGCAGCAAAGGTAAGCAGAACATCAGTCTGCTTTTTACAAAAACATCCTCAACTAATGGAGGAAAAGTATTACCCGCTAATAGCCTTTAATCTGCAGCAATCGTTTAGGGTCTGATCTCCCAGTAATGTGTTATCTGTGAAGGGATTTAAAACAAAGTGGATACTTTGTTGCCAGAATCCACTTAAAGTCGATTTTTTACTTGACGCTTCAATGTACAGAGTCGATTTTTAATGGTGTCTGACTGATGTTAGATGAACTCATTTTACTCATCCCACCTTTCGGTTGATACTTGTTGACCCATAACTGCACCATCCCTCCACTGCTTCTTTTAACTCTTCCATATGTTAGAATAAACAGTCCCAGGTATTGTTTTGTGCTTTTTTCCCCCTCATTTCCCATGTGAGTCAGCCTCACACCAGAGCCTTTTGTATAAAAGGGTTATTAGATTATTTCTCCGCCTCATATCCTGCACAGCTGCTGTCTGAGTTCTTCTACACAGTACAATAGGACCCATGTGTACTTGCTTGTTGTCCAGACTGTGGGACTGAGGGACTTGGAGAGGAAGAGCGGACTCATGGCGAAAGCTTGCTTACTTTAGAAAGAAGTAATAATATCAAGACACATGCGATGTTGCAAAGGCCTTACCAAAATCCACTCTTCCTACAACTTCTAATTCATCCATTCATTGTCTGGGGCCGCTTATCCGATTGGGGGTTGCGGGGGGGGGGGGGGGCGGGGGCCGATCCCAGCTGACATAGGGGCGAAGGCCGGGTACACACTGGATAGGTTGCCAGGCGATCACAGAGACAGACAACTTCTAAGTCAAGTCAATTTTATTTCCATTGCCCAGTATCAGAAATCAATAATTTGCCCCAGATGGCTTTACAATCTGAACAGCATACAACACCCCTCTGTCCTTAGACCCTCGCTGTGGGTAATGAAAAACTCAACCAAGGAAAGAAACCTCAAGCAGAGTAACTGAGCAGAGATCCCCTCGTCCATAAATTATGGGAAGATTCTGTCGTTAACACAACTATATTAAGAAGCGTATAACTTGCACAGACTCCTTGTCTAAGCGCCCACGTCACGTACAGTAGATGAGTAGGATGAAGGGGATCATTGTGGTCTGTAAGATATGCTGTTTGTCAAGGTTCCCCAATGCAGGAAGACATTAGCCAGCCACTTATGTGGTCGGAGGCCTGGCAGGCATTCCTCCATTCTAGTCAGTGGTGTGGAAATCTGTCTCAACTACAGCCAAGTACTCAGCAAAGCAGAGTTGGGGTGGAGGGGGAGGGGGGGGGGGAGAAGACGACGACGACTCTGGGGGAGACGACGACTCTGGGCTACACAGGGAGACTGGCCCAGGAACATTTGGCATCCCTTTCCTGCTTATTTAAGTTTGCCTCACATAGTTTAAGACTGATCATTAACGGTGGTTGATCACGCAGGGTAGTGTTGGATGTTGACTGTGTGTGATCACTAATAACTGTTTTACTTTGTTTCCTCCAGCATCTGCTGATTATCAGCCAAAGCCAGAGATCAACTTGACCAATAACAAGCAGGAAAATGGACAGACCAGCGTCAAAGAAAGGTAAAGCTACTGCCTCTTTTTTGTGGATTTTTGAACGTTTCTTTGTGCTCACGTTGATGCAAGACCACCGCGGATCGTATACAACTTGTGTGACAGAAACTTCGCCAATCCAGCCTGCAGTACGTTTGCACTGTTGAAAACTTAAACGGAAAACACAAGGACACACTCGATTCAGACACTGAGTAAACAATTGTAATACTGGGAGAGAGTTGGTTTCTTGAAACGTTTAGTTTGTTGTATTTGAATACGCTTCATGGGGTAGATTTTAAAAGACTCCCGTGATTGAACGGCGATGCAATGACTCATCCGTTGTATGAGTCACTCTGACCATCATAACTAAAACCATATTCTGCTCTGTGTCTCCCCTCTTCAGCAGCCCCTCAGTCCCTGTGGTCAATGGGATCCAGCCCACGAGACATGAAAATGGTCTATCCACTAAAGAAGACACCGCCCACTTTGGAGATATCATCCATCTCGCAAATCACGGCAACACCACCAACGGAGCGCGGGATAAGTCTGAGACCAGCATGGCCACCGAGCCGATCCTCGCGTTCGAAAGTGAGGAGTCATTCATGAAAAAGGCCGGCCCCATGAAGCCTCAGCATGTCGCAGGTACAGAGTTACAACACATACCAAACATCATGTCAAAGACTTAGACTTTAGATCTAAAGAAAGCTAAAGTTAGCAATGAAAATATAAAGGGAAGTGAAGAAAGGAAGGCATACCAACTTGGCTACTCTGAGGGGATGTACCACAACTGGTGATCCTGTGCAGTAAATGTCTGGCCACCCTGTGTTGTGATGCGGGTAAGTGGATTTGAATCTATAGCCAGCAGCAGCAAGACTGGAAGCAGGGTGGACTGCTAGACTACCAGCCCTTATAAAGCTCACTGATTAATACCTTATATCTTGGTTTTTTTGAATCCATACAAAAACAGAAATGTAACTTTTTTTTTTTTTTTTTTACATCTGGGCAGAGCAGGGAATGCTGTTTCCAGTCTTCATGCTCAGCTAAGCTGCTGCTCGCTGTAGCTTAATGTTTGAGTGTTATTGATCTTCTCACCTTTCTTTCAGTGGAAAAGGCCAATAATAAGGTGATAATAGTACTTAAAAAAAAATGTAAACTATAATCTCAAAATTGATTTTAAAACTCAAAGCCAACCAGTGCGGAGAGGCTAGAATAGATGTACTATGACCTTGTTTCATGTTATTAGTTAAAGGTCGATGGTGGTGTTTGAGATGAACTAGAGGAACATTAGCTTCTAACTGAGCTGTGAATAAAGTGCAGTTAGTAGTCTCTAAGGAAATAACGGCATGGCCTCAAGGCTGGTATAGCTTACGAACGGCCTGATTTAGGCTCAAGGTTTGAGACGGCACAAGATAAGATAATGCTTTATTGATCCACGGAGAGGGAAATTAACAAAAACCTGATTTCTACAATGAATGGATAACTGACAGTATCCTATTCATTAGTATCCAAACAACCAAATTCTGAGTTAAAGCATCGAGGTTAACCAAGAACGCCAACGTACTAATTCGATCTGTCCCTAATAAAGAGCTGCAGCATGCAGAGCCACGGTTCATTTGCACTGAGCTGATTTTACACTTGGCCAAGTTCACATTACCCAATAAAGGCTGCGGTACAAGGCACCATAGTTGGTGCCGTTGTCCTTGGCACGAAGCGTCAACGAACTTGAACTTAATAGGTCATCCCTCCAGTGGGACTGTGTAACCCCTGGTGTGGATGGTGCTGCACTGAGACTCCATTTACACTTTTAAAGGGGTGGAGATGAGATATGGAAGAAAGGGTGACGAGAAACGGGGTATCTTTATACCGATGACAGCTTTTATTCAGCAGCTCCACTGACTTTGGCCTGCAGCCAGTGAGGAATTCCTAGAATAGCCGAGTTGATGAGGAGACCCTATCCACAAGTGCTTCACTGCTAGGGGCTAGAAACAAGACCCGGCGGCAATTAAGCAGCATATCACTCCTCGCTCGACCCCCCCCCTCCCAGCTGCAACGTCAGCAGCGCCCTACAGCTAGATCTTAATCCTCACCTGTTAGCCTGAAGACAAGCCAGCAGTCCCAAATACTAAGTTACGCAAACCGAGGACCATTACCTTTGCTAGCCCACTGACCTCTCTCGTGAAATCACTTACCTTCCTCCGTCCTACACCTCTTGCCTCAGTCCTATAAAGAGTGAACATTCTCTCTTCTCGTTTTCTCTTCTCGTGTAAACCAGCATACTTGAGACGCCCTTTGACCTGGCGGGGCATTTATTGATACGCGAGACTGATTGAATGGTCGTCATTTTATTTTGAGACATGCTTGAAGGGTTTGTTTGAATGGCCATACCTGGTGAGAGTGTGCTCGTTTTCTCAGCCTATTTAATTACAAACTTATTCCACATGTTGGCTGCATTGGACCATACAAAGACTTTCAATGGAGACCTTTTCATTACCCTCATGTACACAAGACCGTTTATGTTAATGGCCTCATGCCCTCTGAAACATCCTGCATTTAGTATCGTCAACAGGTCAGAGGTTTACGGACCATGTCATTACTCATATCAAACAGGTCGACTCTGTTTTGGCCATTAGCACGTGTTGATTAATGCTCAGCGGCTGCTGACGTTTCACCCTTTTTGCTCTGTGCGTCCCTCACAGAGGTCCTGTGACATATCCCCAGTGTTGAAGTGCTCGTCGCATTGGCCATAGTGCTTTCCCGAGCCCTGTGAACTGTGCCAGCTGTTTTCAAAGCCCCTAAAAGCAAACATTCTTCTCTCCGAAGATGAAGCGGGCAACAGAAGATGACGATCCAGCATCGGGACACAAAAAGCAAAAGACAACGGGATGGAAAAGTGTTGCTGTATGCAACACAGGTGCGTCAGTGTTAACACTTAAAAGATCTTTGTGGCATAGATTCCATGCACCTTAATACTCAATAGTATCCTCCTTTGTACATTACAGTCCAGCTGAGTAATTATTACCATAAGCTGTAAGTGTTTCTTTTTTCTTTGTTCTTTAGTTATTTAACTGAAAGATAAATATAAAAGACTGGGTACATTTCTGTGAATAATGTAAATTAACTTTGTGTGATGGACAAAGGAAGTCTGTGGTTTAAAGTTGAAATGAAAGAGTCATTTTATGTTACTCTGCTCTGAGTAGACACTCTAAGTAAAAGCCAGGTATTATACATCCTGGTCTGTACAAAGCTACCTGTAACAGTTTTTGTAAAGTTAAATTGAGAACTCCGGATGCAACAGCTTCTTCCTGTGTGTAGAAATACTGTGTGTGCAAATCTCAGCTATGATTGATTGTACGCAGAACTGGATGTAATCATGAGTGTGCAATTTCACGAATAAGAAACCGCAGGTCATTTAATGTGAATCCCTAGAAACAGGGATTTACTCCACTATTCAACTCTCTCATGTGAAAGCATGACAAAGTTTTCTCTCATATGCATTGAGACTCCATGGACTCATATGTATCTGAAATGCTGGTGCGTGTATATGCTATAATTATTTTGATGTGCGTTACGTCAGTGGGAGCATCTTACGTCTTATTAAAGGCAAGCTGTCCAGTCTGCTGTCTCTTCATCCATTTGTCTTCATTAACAGTGCATTTGATGAACTTAGGGAAAATGACTGCAGGAAGAAAGAAAATGATACAGATGTTCTAAATTAAGTGTTGAATCTTCAAGGTTTCATTCATTTAAAACGGGCATAGGAATTATTCATCACTTGTTAGTAATTTGACAGTTTTGGAAAATGTGGTACTTTGACTTGTTTATTCCTGAGACTCTATTCCCACTCGCACTGAACGTCGAGTGGACGCTAACCATAGAGAAGCAGAATTAGAGATGAGAGATGGTACCAGAAGGCCTTACAGTTGATGTGCAAGGCATGCGAGTTGGCTCAGCTGTCCATTTCAGTTTGGGTCTCCTTTTACAAAATCCCCTCAGGGGGTACATGCCATTTTAACTGCTGCCCCTTTCTCTATATAGTGGTGGCCAGCAGGAGACCTGGCACACTGTTTCAAGCCTCTTTTAGACAGCTGAAGTGCATCACAAACACAATTTATGTCCCCCTTCTATCAAATGCTAAGACATGCCACACTGATCATCATGTGGAAGTTACGTGGTTGAAATGACTTATAGCCGCTTGTGAAATCTAACTTTAGTTTGTTAACTTGAACCTGCGGTGCCCAGACAACCTCTTAACTCCCACAGGGCTGCGTAGGATTTGATCACCATGCAGTGGAAAGCTCTGAGCAATGCATGCAAACTCTGTTTTAACTAACTATTTAGAGGGAAATGTTTTCATCAAAATAAAACAGAAAAGTGAAGACGGGAAAACAAGAAAAAGGTTTTATCGTCAGATTCATCATTGAGGAGACCCATCATGCATGTGAGGAAGATTTGAAGTAAGTGAGAACCCCGTTTGTTTTAAAGCCATCAACATGATGATACACGGTTGTTTTAATTGGAAACTATTAATCTTACAATGTGATTATTCCTACAAATTATCCCTCAATCCAAAATAAGTGCATCACTTCTTTGAATGCCTTTTTGTCCCTTTAACATGTGAAATATTGAGGCACCATTATATTTACAAAAGAATCATCTCTCATTGCTCATAGTTTAAATATGCAATGGACAGTTTGCTTCCCAGGCTTCCTTGAAAAATAAATAAACCTCTGCTGACACACAAGTGCAAGACAATATGATCTCACAGGTTCAGTACTTTGCTACTACACTTGACCACATGCTGTTAAAAGCTGTGTTCATCAACCCCACCAGAGGGTGCAGCACCGCAGCATCGAGGTGACATATTACATTACAAAAAAAGTTTCAATACATATCTCTGGATTCATGCATACTCATAAGTTTGATACAAGTGTGTGTCACCATGGAAATTGTTTATATGTGAAATCTAAACGTCGACAGAAATCGACGCAGAATTCATGTTCCCTTCGGTAATTCGGGATGCAGTCCTGGTAATGTGTGGTGCTTCCCAGAGGGGTCTCAAGGATCAGTGGGCACTATTTTTAGGAAGGTGTCAGCTACGCAGTGCACAGTTACAGGCTGAGTACTGCCAAGTCAGAGGAAATTCACACAGAATGACTGAAAAAAAAATACTTAAGTTAAATTTGTGGGTGAGAAAGGTAATCCAAAAACTACTACTGGTCTATGAATAAAGGTGCTTTCTGCCAGTTGAGGTTAGTGCTGGTTTATCGGATAGTCCTAGTGTACCTCTTGAACAGAGAACCCAGGGCCTCACATCGGGGTGGTCACTCGGGATAGGGAGCAGCTGAGTCTAAACAGGCGGCTGTTGGATTGTCACAACCAGTCGGGTGTAAAAACTCTTTGATAAGGTTCTTCCTGATGATGTTCCACCAAACCTCAAGTATTTAACGAGTCTGACCTCAGTGATGCACTCTGCATCCACATTATTGTGAGCTGAAGGAATATGTTTCCTTTAGGTACATGTGAATCAAAGCATGATCTGAAAGTGTGAAAATATGTATTGGACCACCAGGGATTTGCTTTATGGGTGCATTTGCTTAGTGGTTGATAGGTATTCAGATACCTTTGTTAACAGCTATGGCAAAATGTACGCCTGAATAACTTGACAACGAATGTTGAATTTGCACCACAGCAAGTAAGACGGGGGGTGTTGTTTGACGTAGTACAGGAGTAGTGTATTCAATTTTAAAATGCCATAGCAAATCTATTGTGTAGTAGCCGATTAGTTATTTAAAATGTGTCATGAATGCCATGTAAGGTCTTTGTATAGAATGCCATAGAATATGTAATAAAAGTCATACTATAGTGTACCAGGAAACTAATTGATTACTATGACTTATATTGACAATTTTATCCAATGTCAAAGAGCTTAATAAAAAAGGAATGGCATAGTATCTTGAAAAAAGTAATTAAAAAGTAATATTATAGTATGTCAAAAAAAGTCATGAAATCAGACTATATGATATCAAAAAAGTCCTAAAAAAGTGATTGTATAGCATGTCAAAAAAGTGATGAAAAAGTCAAAGTAATTAGTTTTGAATAGTACTTCAGTCTGGACCAAACTGGTGGACAAACAGACCAACTGACTGACTAGCATTGCTATCCCTAGAGCCACGCTGCTACTGTGGCTAGTGGCTAAAAAGCCAAATAAACTACAACCCAGCGTTTCCGCATATAAACCATAACACAGTTTTTAATTCACTGCGCTGTCGTCTCTTTAAGTTTTATAGCATCACCACCAATCAGCACACACAGGACAAGCGGCCTCTATTCTGCCAGCTTGCAGGCTTAAGTATTTTCAGTTCATGGGATAACTGAGAAGTAATCCCTGTCGGACACTCTGAGCAATCCAAAGGCCCTTCTTGTAGCTGGCACAGTTTTCCTTTTGTTCCATATGGAGGGAAACTCACCAGGAGTGACAGAAGGAGCCAAATATAGAGTAGAAAGGGGATCCTCTCTGGTGTTGGTTTCTGTTAGTATTGGCTCAGTATTGTAGAACTCCCATAGATGATTTCTCTCACTGTTGGACTGGCACCACATGTAGTGTCTAGTGTCTCTGCGAAGTATATCTGTATTCCACGAATATGTTGTGACTGTTGCTGTGACACTATGGAACATCGCAACCACAAGAGTCAGATGAAGCCACACTGATTTTTTTTTTTTCCATTGGGAATTTCTGTCTGATTTAATGTTGGGAGACTTTCACAACTTCATGCTTTGGAATCAGACTATTTTTCTCACATTTTCTGCTCTAGAAAAGTTATGACCCCCATAACAAGAACATAAAATATTGTTTTGAAAATAATGACTTAACCATTTGGTCAATGTAGTTAATGATACTAAAGCTTGTGTTTCATTACTTTATCTTGCCTGGGGAAAAAACTACATGGGCGCAATTTGCGGTTTTTGATTCCAATCACTTATTTTCAAGGCGTTAAGGTGTTGATTGCAAGTGTCTGGATGTCTATCTGTGTGGTCGTTTATGTGAGAGACAAACATACAGAGAGAGAATGTCTGTGAATTTGTGTTTGCATTTCCACAACTCTGATTGCATGTGAATATATATGTGTACACACATACTCAATGTGTTTTTTTAAGTGTGTGTGTGGGGGGGGGGTGTATGTGTGTGAGAAAGAGGTAGAAGCAGCAAGTGTGTTTGCATGACACATGAGAGCAGCCGTCCGGGACCCTGGAGAGTAGAGGGAGCAGAGAAAAGGGGGCAGAGAAAAGGGGGGCTGAAACTACCGTCCGCCCAGCGACAGTGGCCCTGAGTTGTCAACGCTGTCAGAGTGAAAGCATTTAGGTCGTGGATGGAAAGTTTAAAAAAAAAAAAAAAAAAAAAAAGAAAAGAAAAACTGACACATTTCTGTTTCACACTGGGTCAAAGATCAGCCTTGCTTGAACAAAGTGATCGCTAGTGAAAAAAGAGAATGAGAATTAAAAGAAATTTACATAAACTGCCATCAAACACCAGGTGAGAAAAAGAAACACCCGCGTTTGACTTTCGAATGCTGATGAACAAAGCACTGTTTAATGAGCCACTATAACCACATTCTGTCCACACATTTGTCTTCGTCTTTGATGGTGTGACGGTTTGTTCTCACAGGGATGAAAAAATAAAATAATGATGGCCTCCTGTAGAATGTGTGAATATACGTGTGAGTGTACTTGCACAGTTCTGCTATATATTCATTATGAGTACTACCTATCTTCTAACTGTAAACAAGTAGCTTTCCAGAAAACATTCATAAAAAACCTTGTTAAAAAAAGTAACAAATGTGTTTTGGGATAATTTCTGTAAATTCTTTTCTTGGTCATTATTTGTCCATAATTTAAAAGTAGTAAAATCAAAGAACATAAGATATAATACTTCAAACAATATGGTAACAGCTTCAGGTTCAATTGCACGTAATATTAATTGTTCTTTCCTCTTAAAGTCAAGAGCCACTTCTAAGATTTGCTTCATAAACTCTGTTGGGGGGGAAATATAAGGACCTTAGGGGAATGAAGAAGGTTATTAATATTTCCCTTGTCTCTTAAAACTACGCTATTTGCAAAACACAGGAAATAGTTACTAGATGTGTTGCTGTGGGATTAAACAACATAAAAAGAGTACCTATGCGTATAATTCAACTGCTGCCATTGAATGGTAACATGACAAATTGGATCCTGTTAAAATGCAAAACTTAAACAAACACTAAATCATCTCCTAACCATGTGTGTTATGGAGCCAGCCAGATATAGTGTTCTCATTCCACCGATTTGTGAAGATCCTGATTTACTTACCATTTTCCAGTGGAGAACACAGCCGTTTCTCACTCTGAAGAGAGGGAAGTCCCCTTTTGCAAATCATTGTGATGTCACTTTTTTTCAGTCTCACATGTGAGAGAAAACAAGCTGGCCTACAGTGTCAACTGTCTGTCTTTGGTTTGGAACTGCTGGGTGTGACATGGCTGAGCCTTTTTCTGCAAATCTGTCTCTTTGCTGATAAATAAAGATGATTGATTGTGTCTGGAGGCGTCTGCCACTGACCCACCAGTTAAAATTCTTGGGCCTCT